ATAGCAAAGTTTATTATAAAAATAAACAATAGTTAAAATGTACAGTTTGCAATCAATCTAATAAAAAATTAATTTACATTCCTCAAAACATTTAAAAATGTTTATTGGGCATATTTCGGATTAATTACCGGCATTTACAGCACATTTATTGCAATCTATTGCCAAAAGTAGTCAATTGTTGGCCGAATTCGGACCACTGGTCACACGAATCGGTAATATTATACTCTTTAGAGACTATAAGGCGGTCACTGTTTGTCACCGATTGTCACACTTGCGGCTCAAGTGTTCGCTTCACGACGTGTTTGACACCAATTCCGACCTAAGGTTTGTCAAAACTGTGCGCACACTTGAGTTGCACTCGGATTACACAGTGATTGTCGATAACAACCGTTGGTTTGCATTCGTGGCCCACAATCAGTGCCTCCAGAGTCTGGCCGTAAAGAGTTGTTGGTTTAGCGCCGCCGAGGCGTTGACCGAATGGTGCGGACAAGTGTCACAATTACCGCAATTACGGCAATTGACAGTCGGGTTGGTATTGGGTATAACGGACTCTTCGGTGGTCAACCAGTGTTTGCGCACAATTTGCGTAAATAGCAAACAATTATACCATTTGTCACTTGGGTTAAAGTTTCATGATGCGTTATGTTGTTTATATAAATATTTGTAACTCTAATACAGTTATTTAAAAATACAATTTAATAAGTTAATTCTTAAAGTTTATTAAAAATAAATTAATTTATGATACTTTAATTAAATTAACTTTCTATAATAGTTCTATAATAAGATTATTTTATTTGCTTGGCAAGTTAAATAAATTAAATATTTACATGTTTCAAATTTATAAATAAATAAAATAAACTAAAAATAAACTAAGCGTATAAAATTAATTGATGTAAAAATACAATATTATTTGCCATGTACATAGAACACAAATATAATTAATAAATAATTTAAAATTAAATACAAAAATCATAATCATTAAAACCAAGATTAAAATTTATCTAGTTATATAAAATTTATAAATACCAAATTCTATAATTACAAAAATAGTAAAAATATTAATGAATCTAATAATAGTTTTTAAACAATTCAAATACAATCTATCTCAAAAACTGATTTTTGGCACCCATTTGAGCCTGTTGCTTTTGCAGCGCCAACTGCTGCCTATCCCTACACCGTTGTTGCAATGTAAACAACAGGGCCGACAAATGATCCGGCTTATTATTGAACAGCAGCTTACTATTACTACTCGGTTGCCGGGCGAATAGTAGCTGGCTCAATTGTGGATCATGTTCAAGTAGGGCAACCAAGTTCTCCAACATATATTGCTGACAGAATTGCATCAATTCGAGTGCGTTATACTGAATGGCATTCATGTATAGCTCGACCACTGAGTCCGTGTCCACGCAGTCACAGCACCGGCGGCTACAGTACCGCAACAGACCGTCCAATTGGAAGTACGAGGCGATTGACATTAACTAGGTTTATATGGTTTACAAATTAATTATTAAAACAAATTGTTAATGATTGGTAAAATATTTGATATTTTGTAGAATATTCTGTGTTTTATTACAACATAATATTGTTGTGTTTGAAAGCAAAACATACCTCCAATATATTGTTTTGGTCCACATCTGTGTCCGTTTCAAACCCTCCGTTGTATAGGAATTGCATTACTTTCTAATGACGAGAAAATAATATTATCATTAGTTATAACTTATAATTTATAACTAATTGTATACAATATAACAATTAACTATTTTATAGTATTATTTGTTTGATTATTCAATTTTATTCTACAATTTAATGCTGAAAGTATCAAAATTAGTTTAAAAATTATAATAATCTTACAAGACAAATAAATCTAAAATACCAATAAAATACTTCAATTAATTATCCAAACTATTTATATATAAATTTATATTTTAATATACAGTCTACTACTACTGTACGTTAAAAATTATACTAATTGACACCATAGAATATTTTTACATAGAACAAATTAAATAAATAATTTTGATTATTTATAAAATGAATTAATATGCAGTCTATTATTAAGTGATCAAGAGATAATTAGGAATTATACCTGAAATATATCAAAACGGATATTGTTAATAACAATCGCTGAATGCGTGGGACTATTGTGCACAGAATATGGTGTCTGAAGATTGTGAACAATAAGGGCAGACACTCGTCGACGAATTGTACGGTACAGTCGTCGGACCAGAGATGGGAAAAGTCTTGTAATAATTGTTCGGGAATGGCGTCCAAACGCATGCCGTGTGCTGTGCCTACTGTTGCCATCCATGTGTGCATTGTCCATGGGATGCCTAGAAACATAATAAATTTTTAAAAATTATTAAAATTGTTAAAAGTTAATAATTATTGTTAACAGATTATATTTTATTAGTACAAATAATCTCATTAGCTTAAATTGATTACTTATTTCACGTTCAAAATCAATTCAAACTGATGCTAGTTTAGTAAAATAAATATATCATGACATTGTTATTAATTATTATCTATTATTAAGTATACTTCATATTATAATAATTTAAAAATAAAATATTTAAATATTAATTTTTAAAAATATGTTGTTCCATTGCCTTATGCGTTATGGTTTCTATGCGTCTCCTAGTGTTTTTAAATTAATGACTTAGTTCATCGTGTATAACATAAAAGACATATAATTAACAAGGTAATTAAATTTGTAACAATAATTAAATCATTATAACAAATTATGACCAAATAATTGGTAAATAAAACAAATCATTATAAAATTAATAAACAAACTAAATTTACAGTTCATAATAACGTACTCACTGCCGGTCGAGTGGCCCCCTTTTCCACCTGGTATATAGGAAATGTGGTTATTAATAGTTAAATTATAACTTAATTTAAACAATAATGGTTAAAACAAAATAACTACGACGTGCGGTTTTTAGAAACGGGCAAAATTATAAATTGTGTTATATATAAAATTGTAATTTAAAAATTGTTAGTTTTATAAATATTCGCGACCACGATCTTTCCCATAATAAAATTAACTAACTCAGCATATTATTAATTTATAGCAATATGGTTTTAGGTACAGTTTAATAAATATAAAAATAATTTTATAATTTGTTATAAAATTTAAAAATTTAATTTAATAAAATCAGCCGGGTTCGTAAAAGACCAAGTTCAATTTCCATGCATGAATGGTCAAAAATTGTAAATTAAAAATATAATTATTTATTTAATCTTTTATTTGATCTTTTATTAAAGAATTTAACTTTAAAAAGCTTAGACTTGGTGTAAATTGGTCAGGGTGAATACTTATCATAATTAACTTTTATTGTAAACTAAATAATATACATATAATTGTAAATGCATATAAGCGTAAAACTTACCTTAACAATGTTAAGTTAACATAATATAACATTGTTTACATTAAGCTGTAATATGTCAATAATTGTTAATTATTAACATAACATATCTAGCTGATATGTTTATAAATTAATTTAACTTTAATACTTTTAATAATCAAAAATTAATTTATTATATTATGTTATTTTTAATATTACATATTCGGTTATTTTGCCAACCATTAACATGCAATAAATATGTTTAAATGTTATTAATGTAAAATTAATGTTATTAATTCCAGTTTGTGAAAAATTGTAGTATGTATTTTAGAAGTCTTTACTTATGATTATTGAGTTTTATATTATTATTCAAAAGTATAGTAATTTAGTTTTAGAGAGAAATATTATTAAGAAATAACTTAGTCCATTTACCTCACGATTGTAAAACATTGTATTGTTAAAATAATTACTGCTAGATATTAATACAGCTTATAAAAAATAAAATTATATTTGTGTCGGGATGCCTGTAGTTGACAAGATAGTTGTGTTGATGGTTTGCTTAACTTAGTGGATTATTATTGCGACATACATATTTGAACTAATTAATGTAAAATTTAAATAATTTCAGTTTGGAAAATAGATAATGTCATCATAGATAAGTTTGTAAGTTTGTAACATCAATAAATTTCGTTATTAATTCAGCATAATTTAATAAAAAGTAATAATTATATTGTATTATTATTCTAATAGATTAACAGATATTATTTCACTCATTAACAAAGAATTAATTTAGTTATATATTAGAAATACACATTAAATGTTTATAATTATAGTACTAAAACGTTTAAAAAATTGAATGTCTTCGCCTAGCTTTCCATTTTTATTATTGTCTAAAAGTTTTACCATAATTAAAAATATTTTCAATTTAATATTGCAGTTTTTACAATCAAATTAATGCATACTTTAATATTTGTTTTTATTTATAAAATTTACAAAACCATATTGACACTTTTATTACATTTTTATTATCTAAATAATTAGGTTTTATAACAATTACATTTGTAAAAATAATTTCTAAAACTGCATCAATAAATAAATACGACATTTATATAAGGCCTAACTCGCAGTTATCAATGACGAGTAAGCAGTTCGGGGCTAATAGCAGGTTCAGTATAAGTACCGGTGGGCTGGAAAATATTTTAGATGAACATAACCTTGGTGAATATAACAGCCGTTCCCCGAGAACCTCACTATAATTTACTTATAATAACTTGATTGCGTTTTGATTTAATTCTGTTGACAAACATGATACATCTTAACACAAAATAAAATAATTATTATTTTAACATTTTTAATTGAGATTGACAAAATTTATATAATAATTATTAAACAATATTATATACTTTGTATTTCTAACATGTCCATTGCTACCATAATTAAATAAATTAAATCACCATACTATTTCTCTAATACAATTTGTTTTATTGTAGAGTCTAACAATTATAAAACGTGTTTAGCATTTATAATAACGTAACCTTAAGATTAATTTGTAATTATAATAAATGTTAACTTAGTTCTTAATAAAATATTGCTTGTTATAACAGGGAATTAAATTTTACATATTTTATATAAGCGTATACAAAAGTTATGTACATAATAATGTAGTCATTAATTATGTTCAAGGTCTAAATTACTGCCTAATTTAATTATTGATTTTATAGTAGATAATAGACTGTACACATTATTTACAAGTGATGTTTTATTATTCAATTATAATAAAACTAAATAATCTTGGAAAATGAAAGCAATTAAGTTAAATACATTTAAAATTATTTTGTTAAAATTTATAAATTGGGTAAAATTTATTATATTCTAAATTGATTAATATAAAATATTCATAACTTTGTATTTGATGAATTGATTTACTTAATTAATCTAAATTTATTGTTCATTGTAAACATTTAACATGTTGTTAACATAATATTCACTATTTTTGTGATATATTATATTAATAAACTGTAATATTTAATTACAGCTAATGTTTAATTATGCTATATGATAAAATTAGATAATATTGGAAGTAAAAACAGCATTTAAATATCAGTCTTTCAACAATTAATTTTGTTGTTTTACATTTAATTAATTATTTACCAATTTGTTTAATTTTTAAAATGATGATTTTAAGAAGTTACATATCAAAATAAATAATTTTAACCAAATACTCGAGGTACAAACTTACCATTAAAATTATATGTAGAATGTGCATGGATGATTGTCATATTCATACTTAAAATTTTAACTTAAATTTTAACACAAAAGTTCTCAACAGAGAATAATTGTCCGTAACTAATAAAATAGTTTTATTGTATTTTATTAATTGTTATTTTAGATAAACTACTTTATATATATTTACTATATTTTTAAATAAATAGGCATATATAAAGTTCATGATTTTAAATATTACACAAATAAAAATTTGTCAATTAACACAACATGTCTAGCTGATATGTTTATACATTAATTTAATCTAAATACTTTTAACCAAAAAATGTAATTATTATATTGTTATTTTAAATATTGCATATTCTTATTTTTGCCATCCATTTTTATGCAATAAATTCATTTGAATATTATTAATGGAAAATTAATATTTTCAATTACAGTTTGTAAAAAATTACTGCTTTTATAAAGCAAAGTGAAAATTATAAAAAAAAGGTTTACAATTATAGTCTGCTATAAATATTAGTATTGTTGGACGAGTAGGTGCTGGTTGAGTGGCCTACACTCCCACCTGCTATATATAAATTATAGTGATTTAGCTAAATTATAAATTACTTTATACAATATTGGCTGAAATAAAATAATTGCCATGTGTAAGTTTGTGTTTCCATTAAACATGTTTTAAAACAACAAAATATTATAAAATTAATTAATTAATCAAATTTACAGTTAATACTAACTAAATAAAATCAAATATTATTTTTCCAACAATTCCAATTTTTTTAATACATAAGTTATGTAACATAACCCGCGAGTAATGAACGGAATTTTAAAGTAAATAAAATTAAGTAAAACATACTGTATACAAAACTCACCGCCTAATAAAGTTCCCAACAAACTTCCCCTGGCATATACTAAAGGGTCCGGGCCCGGAAAACATTTTTTCTATGTACGGCTAACCAATATTTTGACGGTCAATCGGTCGACCCAAATGCCGATCAAAGTTGGCCCGGATGACACGGGCCCACTACTTTTCCGTCATTTTTCACATTTTCACGGAAAATTTTTTATCAAAAAATTTAGTTACAAATTAATTTAAATGAATTAAAGGAGGTGTAATTTACAGGATAATAATTTGATAATAATTAAATAGGCATGGGTTGTTTTGACATTTATTTCCATTTGTAACATCAAAGAATTAATTTAGTTTTATGTTTAAATTTGATTGTAACTTAACTACTTTTATTTATTTATTATAAATATATAAAAATAATGCAAAAATGTTAACAAATTGTTAACAAAAATTATTTACAAAATAAACAGATCGCGTAATTTACATGTTCACTAAATAGGGAACCTATATAATAATTATTTATTTAACAAGCTAAACAATAAATTTAATAATGTTTAGATATTAATAATATATTTGTATATAATTTAATTCAGTTAAACAAATCCACTAATAATTAGTTGATTCCAAAAATTTTTGCAATTCTGAATAACCGGTGGATTAAAGCCATTATTACCATAATATTTATTGTAATACATTTTCCCCAATTCTTGTAAATTTGACGACAATAGCATATAATTTAAACTAATATTACCATCATTTAAACGGTTGTATGGCTGCCATTGCCTATTATTGACATCGGGAACAATGCTTCAAATAAATCAATATAAGTTACAGAAATAATCAATTAAGTTATTTAAATAATTAACGCAATCAAATAATAGTATTGCTAATAAATA